GACATTCGCAAAATTGCGGGGACATCATGAAAATCTATTATTCGGAAGATGTACGTATTTCAGATTAATTCAAAATTTTATTTTGGGTAAAAATTTACTTATTTTACACGGAAATTTTTATCTACAGATCGACCAAGATCCCAACCTCGTTCCGGGAGCGATGGTCGAAGGAACGCCTCCCAACTAGTGATCTCAACGGTTCTCGGTTCTCATAGAACCGAACCGGAACCGATGGCTCGGTTCGGTTCCGGTTTATACGAGAACCGAACCGAACCGAAACTTTTATTACCGGTTCGGTTCCGGTTCCAAGTCTTAGAGAACCGAACCGAACCGGCCGGTTCGGTTCGGTTCTGACTACATACATAAATACATTAGCGAAGTTGATCATATTTCCGAAAAAGTTTTACGAATTTCCCGAAATACACCTAGTTTCCAAAATGAAATTTTGACGTGGCCGTACCTCCAAAGTTCCCAAAATGAAATTTGACATGGCCACACCCCCAAGTTACCCAAAACGAAATTTTGACCTGGTTACAGTTACATCCACAATGTTTGCAAAACCAAATTTGGACTTGATGACACCTCCAAAGTTTCCAAAATGAAATTTCACCCCCAAAGTTTCCTAAACGAAATTTTTACCCCCAAAATTCCGAAATGAAATTTTGACGTGACTGCACCCCAAACTTTCCAAAATGAAATTTTGACTTGGTTACACCCCCAATGTTTCCAAAATGAAATTTTTACTTGGTCACACCCCAAATGTTTCAAAAATGGAATTTTGACTTGGTTACACCCCCAATGTTTCCAAAATGAAATTTTACTTGGTCACACCCCAAAGTTTCCAAAATGGAATTTTGACTTGGTTGCACCCCAAACTTGGAATTGTTTTCTAACTTCAATAATACATACATAAGTGGTTTTCTGTTGACATGTGTAGAATTTGCTTGTTTAAATACAGATAAGTTATGGCTTGCATGAAATTTCATCAAAACACGTGAATAGCATTGTTTGTTGTTTTGCATATTAATAACACTACCGGTTTGACCCGAACCGCCGTTCGGTCACGGTTTGGTCCGGTTCCGTTCGGTTCCAGCAAAAAAAGTTCGGTTCTGTTTCGGTTCTTCAATTCTGGTTCTCGGTTCCAAACCGGTTCTTCCAAGAACCGAACCGAACCGAACCGTTGAGACCACTACTCCCAACAATGCGGCCGGTCCACAAGGAGGCTTCGATTTTAATGAACTTAAATTGTATAACTAACTATTACAACTAATCAAATATACCTACATACCGTTCAAAAAAAACTTTTTTTCATTCAAAAGTCAGTCATCCCGATTTCTGAGTGAAGATTTCATTCACACTCACTCATTTTCTTCAAATATTCATTTCACTTCATCTGACTTCATTTCTTATTCGTCCATGACAGATTGTATTAAGGAAAGTGAAAAGTGAAATGATCGTGACGTTTAATCTGTTTGTGCTCAATTTTAAGCATTAGGATGAGAAAGGAGATCATTTATTTGTGTGGAGAACCAATTAACTGTGTCTTTATTTAAAGTGGATAAGTTAAAAGCATTATTTTCTAAATGTAATGTACTGTAATTAATGTTTATAATAAAACTATGTAGTCGATCTATGACATATGTACGTATTTTGCTGTGAAAATTTTTGTCTATGAAAACGTGTATGATTCTGAGCCAAAATTTTGCACTGCAGATTTTGATGCCCTTTGCACATCCTGTAGAATAGTAAAATCCCTCGCTGGTCTTGATTACCATTGTAATCGTTAACGATAAGGCAAACTGATTAGAAACCAAACCCACATATTTTATTTGCAAACTTAACAAGTCTTTGTACAAATATTAAAAGTAACCCAATAGTTTAGATATGATGTAATCATAATATTGTATTAAAGAGAAATTGATGGTAGAGATAGTTAGATGAAGAACAGGATATCGTTGCCAGTCGGATGATGTCAACTTCCTGCAGTCTTCAGGTCCGCATTTTCCCTAAAAAACAAGGAACAATTCATTAGGACAGCAATGTCAGAGATTTGCATACATGCAACTTGTAGATTTCATGGAATAAAATTACTCCAGTTTTGTAAACTGTTTTAAGTTGCGTGATAAGCAATTAAACTGCTACTTTGAAACTTTGTGGAATAAAATTGCTCCAGTTTTGTAAAGTGCATAAAACTGTTTAAATTTACGAATTACGAGGATAAAAATTGCTCTTTTTAAACTTGTGGAATACAATTACTCCATTTTGTAAACTGTTCTTAAAATTTGACATGATTACAAAGTTGGCGTGACTAACAAGGAACCTTAAGTATTGTCACCTCTCGATTTCCTTCCAAATAGTCTTAATCGACAGATAATTAGTGAAACTAAAACTTTGTCATAGAACATGCGGGCAAAATCACGTTTTCGCGAAATATTGCGAGAGCTGCACCAAAACGTGCATTTTCCCAATGCTTTTAATATAGCCACCAGCCTTCGAACGAACTTTATAGAATATTGATTAATTATAAACCTGTCCGTGTAATTTCAAGCCTGATCACGAGTATGCTATAAGCTGATGCAAATATTTGCCATTTGTTGCAAACTTTTTGCAAAATTTCGCAATTTTAAATTTGGTTATTTTTTTAATTTTGCAAAATGTGTAAGTGATAAAATTTTATTTTTCATGTTGCAAATATGCAATTTTTTGCAACTTGCAAAAATGAATATGGGAAATAATTTTTAAAATTGCTTAAAATTTAAAGGATTAGTTATTTTAAGTGTTTTCATGAAAAATTTGAACGATGTAAATTTAATGTAAATTTCAATTTTTCAAATGTTTGTAAATTTTTCGAAATTAGTAAAATGAGTTTTTAAAAAACCTTGCAAAAAAGAGCAAATTTTGTGAGTATGACAAAATTTGAATTTGCGAAATTTTGCAAAAAAAAGTTTGCAAAAATTGGCAAACATGACATCAGATTCGTGATCATCTTTGAAATTAAGCGCACAGGTATGTACGCACAGGTTGAACAATATTCTACATATAAACTTCATGAAAAAGCGCTGGCTATATTAAAAGCATTGGGAAAATGCCAGGTTTGGTGCAGCTCTCGCTAAATATTTCGCGAAAAACGCGATTTTGCACCGCATGTCTATGACAAAGTTTTAGTTTCACTAAATTATCTGTCGATTAAGGCTATTTGAAGAAATCGATGGTGACAGTACTTAAGGTCCCTGTAATATTCAAATTGCTCACCCTCCTTCTCGATGAATGCGGCCCGATAAACAGCCAGATGGCGTAGTACGTGGCCTACAAAGATTAAAATAAATATTATAACTGGGCAATTATAAGATACAGATAATCAAATTTAATTAAAAACCAACCGCGGGTAGACACGGGCTGCGGCATCGAACGAATACGTAGCACAAGTAGTACGTAATCTTCTGCAAATCGCCCATCGTAAAGTGTTTCGTCATGAATACGTGATACCGGTGGTTTTGAGGTTCCCTGCGCATCAAAAATAAATATTTTCAATCATCGAGACCATTTATGCGAAGGTTCGTTTTGGACTCCAAAACTACTTTTGGACTGGACATTGTCCAAAACTCTTCAAAATAGAAAATGGACAAAATATTACAAGTCTTTTTAACGATTTTGCAAATCTATGTAATCTCCCATTAATTTTGAGCATGGTGTGTTTATAATAATAGGAAATCTGAAAAACTTTGATTTAACGAGTTTCTCAGAGAATTAAGAAATTTTCTAAACGATACTGTATACACACCAAAATTTTAAACATTAATAGCGAAGATTGCAATCTTAGATTGCATAATTATACGTCAACGAATTATCATAATGAAGACTTGCAACACTTTGTCCCCTTTGGACAATTCAGGACATTGGACGCCAAAACTGGTTAAAAGAGGGTTTGGACGGAGGGTTAAAAACAACAGCTAAACCCGCTTATACCCGCATTTTTTGGATATATAAAATGACCCGGACCTGAATGCCGACGTGGCTGTTGAGGAAAAATTCCCTCTCGGGATGACAATCTTGGTGCGACGACCGTTCCCGTGGAATGTTCTTACTGGAAGACAGAAAGTGATAATCATTACATCACAAATCTGGTGACAAATAAGCTCAAAATTTCTTACTTTCCGACCCCTCGTTTCTCATTCATTGCTGAAAACGCGTGTGGTGCCGCTTCTTTACCTGATAAATATAAAAAAAGTAACTAATTAGTAGAAATTAAAGACTAATTAATTAATTACTCGATTACTCATCACCAAACTCAAAACATCTAATCATTTCTCGGCTTTGGAATTTATTTAAAATTCTAGACGACAAATTTGCAGAGCAGGTCGTTCCCAATTTTTTCAAAAATATATGCTTCAGATTTTGACAATTTTTCAAGGAGGAGCTCCCAATTTAAGAAGCCTTCGGAAAATTGGAACTCGTCGAAACTAGCTTAAAAAACTGACCGCCATCCATTAATCATCTTACTGACTACAAATTTTGTGTCCAGAATTTTAAAATAAATTCCCAGAGCAGAGAAATTAATAAAAAATACTGCTTGTTTTTTTACTATTTTAGTAAGTAATGCGTCATCGAGTATTATGTCAAACTTACAACACGAAGGTGATTTTGATCTTTGGAATTCCTAACTTCTCCGTAATCGAGGCACACTTGCTTCATTTGCTCATATTCCTCTTCCTTAACCTGTCCCCCAAATTAACAATATTTTGATTAATTTACATATTTGAAATGTCAAATTATTGAAAATTCCCACCTTATTAAAGAATCCTTCCGACACGTCTCGGAACATCAAGATTTTGGTGGGGTACACTTTGTTGGTTGCGAAAAATTTGCCCAACTGTCCGCCAGAATTTCGTCCAGTTCTCGATGAGTTCTTGGCGACTCTCTTGCGGCTGGATGTGCATCGAGTAGCCCATGCAGGACATGTTGAATATGCCGTAACAGCGGCAATGCTGGGGCCTGCAAGAATAAATTAGTATGCACGGAAATCAGGGATGACCAAAATACTTATCAAAATATATATAGTGTGTTTAGCCCGTTCTTCCCTCTGGATTTTAGGGTGTTGCACCCACAAAAAGACAAAAATCTACGTGAAGAAGGCAACAGTTGTGCAAAAATACGGGTTTGTGAAGAAATTACTTTTTATCGCTGTCAAAAGCATTGTTTGCACGATTCTTAAAAAAATAATGAATTTTGACAGCTATAAAACGTAAATTTCTTCACAAGCCCTATATTTTCGTTGACTGTTTGCCCTCTCCACGTAAATTCTCGTCTTTTTGTGGTGTAACAGCCTCGGAAATCCAAACCCTGGAAGAACGGAGCGTTTTGCCCACGTTTTAAAATTAGTACGAAAATCTAGCCATAATATCTAAATCTCACCATAGAATTGGACTAGGATGAGTTACATCCGCTCCGAGGATCATAGTCTTCTCATTTCTGAAATGGAGCTCGTTCAATTCTTGGATTGAAAAATTCGTCCCGAAAGTTTTGGAATTCAACTGAGAAGAAAATCCCAATCTTTTGGTTGTTCGGGTCCCTCACGTTCTGTTGCCTGATGCAAGCCGTCAAAACGCCGTACTATACAAAAAAAGGTGAACTTTTTAACCAAAAATAACTATTTTGTAACATAGAAATCGACAACTCGTCCTCAAAATCGTAAAAATATGCATTTCTCCGCTCTGGAATTTATTTTAAAATTCTGGACGACAAATTTGTAGTCAGTGAGGAAGGAGGATGAGTTTTTTGGGTCAGTTTCGACGAGTTCCAATTTTTTCTGAAGGCTTCTTAACCTTGAGATCTCCTCTTTCAAAAAGGTCAAAATCTGGAGTGTATATTGTTTAAAAATTGGCAACTCTCACCTCTTCACCTCGTCCAGAATTTTAAAAAATTCCAAAGCGAGAAATGATTAAAAATGTGGCGATTTTGATTGACGATGAATCATCGAGATCCTACCCATACCTGTTACTTTCATTCATGTGACTAATTTTGATAGAGAATGATGGTGAATGAAAAAATTTCCTGTGATTTGAATGAAGGTGAGTGAAGCATTTCGTCATTTCAGATGAATGACTGTGAATGAAGGATTTTTCATTTCTTTAATTTTTCACCCAATGCCTAATACATTTGGCGAAGTAAGAAATGAAGTCAGATGAAGTGAAATGAAATGAATTTGAACGAAAATCAGTGAGTGTGAAATGAAAATCTTCAGTCAGAAATCGAGATGACTGAATTTTGAATGAAAAGTTTTTTTTGAACAGGTAGGACTCCTACCTCAAACAAAACAAATTGTACTCACCACAACTTCCGCTTCCGATTTAATGAAGGCGTAGTCCTTCCCATCTTGTGGTAAGACGACAATCACCAATTCGAAACCTTGCCCTGATTTTCTCGAAGGCCGTGCTTTCCGAAGCAACTTGTCGTTCCATCCTTCTCTATTCTCAAGGGTGAAACTATTAGGGAAAATGATAAGTCAATTATCCGACTAAGAACTTCAAAGTATTTAAAATGAACATTTTGTTTCTTACATGTTCGTCCGTAACAAATTTTATGGCGGGCCTTATTTTTGGCGGCATTTTGATCCGTTTCATACCAAGGCTTTCCCCTAATTCGCCCAGTTTTGCGATAAAATTGCTGAAAAGTGAATACAAATTAATTACAGGAACAAATATAGCAAACTCGCAGAAATGTAGTGCATTATTTGCAACGAAGCTATGATATTTTATTACATTTGACCTCGTTTACACGGTCATGGGTCATCGTACCTCGAAATTATGGGTGATTTCTGAAATCTCCACCCCAAATAACGTCTAAAACTGTGCACTAACATTTTTGGCCTTTGACCTCATCACCGTGACCTTTTATTCTACAAGGTCAGTTGACGAATAGCTTCTTACTTTTAAAATTAATTGTCAATATCCGAATACAGAATTAAAAAATGGATTCCTTCGAAACTTATCGTGCTGACGGACCGACAGACAAAACAATCGCAATAACTACGCATCAATTCGTTCCGCCCGCTAATAAATAATAGATAAGCTGTATCCATTCATAGTCTTTGATTTCACGGTGATTATCCAATTTCATCTCGTAATGTATTTTTATAGACATTCCAAGACAGTATAACCACCGTCAAATCACGGAATATAGATGATTGCAGAAAAATTTGTGCTCAAAACTTACTCCGCAATTTCTTCATCCTTTAAAATTCCATCACAATCGAATATCATCCATTTTGGGAGGGTGGCAGCTTGTAGGAATTTCTTGGACACTTCATTGTTATCCTTGAAGTTCCACTTCCCCTCAAATTGGCTGACTTTGGCGTTTATTTGCTGCATAAAATAATTACGGCCCGTTACATTTACATATCTTGTTTTTTTAAGTTGGCAAATCAGTTAAATAAAAATAAATGGTTAGATATTTACAGCGCCTTTGGAGTCCAAGGTGCGCACAACGGGTGGCGCGATTACGGAAGCGTTATCGATCACGATGGGATTCGGTTCGATACGGATTCCAAATTCAGTCAGGACTGGGCACTTATCAAATCTGCTTCCTTGTCTCTGCAAAATTTCATAATTTGTCAACTTAAATATCAAATTTATATCAAGTTTAGTTCACGGCGGATATGTATTTACAAAAAATCAGTGAAATATGTATTTAATATTTATGAAACAACGTCAAAATTTTTGCGAAATGTGTACAAACTAAGAAGAAAATCGTTGAAATAAGAACTTGTATTTTTGGAAATAATGCTCTAGATTTTTTCTGGTCCAATTTCTTCCGAGCAAAAAAATTCGTCTGGCATCATTAAATATTTGCAAAATACGTATTTTTTTCATGTATAAAAGATTACGCATTTTTTTAAAGAAATATTTATAAATATTTGTATCTTTGAAAACCGAAGCTTGTGACAATATTGAAAAAAATGGAAATTTTTGAAATCTATTCAAGTTAGATTAGAGAATACACCCACAAAGTTTTACCATCGGTCGTCATAAAAAAGGAAGAAGTTGGAAATAAATACATATCCGCTCTCTATCAATTACGCATTTCTTCTTACAGCCAGGTCAATCGCCTTGAATCGTTCCTTTCGGCTCAATTGCTGCCCCCTGATCATCGCGCTGGTCAGCTTGGGTTCCATTTTGCCTCGATAGGGGCTGCGTAATAATGATGCACAGCTCGAGGGGACATAATTTGTCATGTTTCGATTCCCAATGTGAACCACGGGCCAATCTGGGTGTCGAATCTTGGTCTTCTTAAACTGTTCATATACTGGACGATGTTGATCGACTTGGTCACCCCCTTTTCATCCGTGATGCCGAACGTGTACTCAGCCGCGGACTGTTTGACGATGGCATTCGCGGTGAATTTGTGATACTTCTCGTGCTTACCGGTGGTTGAGTCGATTGGTCCAGTCCCGTACTTTATTAGTTTTCCTGGGACATAGGAAAAAAATGGTAAGATTGCGAAGGATGGTCAAAAATATAGAGTTTTGAGGTCTGTTTTTCCGAAGGTATGGATTTGCAGGATTGTTACACCCACAAAAAGGCGAGAATTTACGTGGAGAAGGCAAAATTCTTACGAAAATACAGGTTTTATGAAGAAATTAACTTTTTATCGTTGCCAAAATACATTATTTTTTTAAATACAGTATTTCGACAATGATTAAATGTTAATTCTCCACAAAACCTGTATTTTCCTATGACTGTTACATTCTCCATGCAGATTCTCGTCTTTTGTGGGTGTAACAGCTCCGGAAATCCAATCCCTGGAAAACGAGCTCAAAACACTATATTTTTGACGCGCTTTAAGATTATATTGTGTATGTTGTCCAAATGCAAATTTTGTATAGATAAATCACCAATTATTTACCCTTCACTGCTTCGGAAGCCTTGTTGATATCCGGATCCTCCCAGTACTCGATGTCCAAAGAATCATCCAGGGCCCACTTGCAAGCATTACGGACATACTCGTGGAGCGGCTTTTCGTGTAGAATGCCTTCGTAGCCACTACAAATAAGAGAGGAAATTTATACAAATAATGCCACCCGTTAACGTGGGAGTCGATGGCTTATCATAAAATCAGCACATTTTTAATCACTTATCGCCTTTGGGAATTTATTTTAAAATTCTGGACGACAAATTTATGGAGCAGGTGGTTGCTAATTTTAAAAAATATACACTCCAGATTTTGATACTTTTTGAAGATTTCAAGTTTAAGAAGCCTTAAGAAAAATGGAACCCGTCGAAACTGCCCCAAAACTCAACGCCATTCCATTAATCAATTCACTGACTACAATTACTCGTCCAGATTTTAAAATAAATTCCCAGAGCAGAGAAATGATTAAAAACATGATGCTTTTGATGACGAGTCGTAGTTAATTAATTAATTAAGCCTTACAATCAATATTGGCGTGGCGGTTTCCTCCGACCGAGACAGAGGGACTGATAGTGCCCGTGAAGCAACTCGAGCATCTTGTCCAAAGGTTGTCGGTGGGTGGGGTTTGATTGAAGAAGCTTCGATTGCAGGAAATGTAGCGCAATGAGGGGGCGTGACGAAAGCCACGTCGAGACCTTGGACGACGTCCTGTGGCTGAACGACAGGCTCCCCCATTTCCTCCCGGGATCGAAGAAACTCGATAAACGAGCTGGTCAAGACCTGGCCGACCACTGTGAAATTAAGGACAAGAAGAAATTAGTGTCAGTTTAGTTTAAATTGTAAAAAGAAGTACAAATTGGTAACAAAAATTTGGTAAAAATTGAGCTGGTCATCATGCCATCACTGTGATATTAACGATAATTAATTAGAAACTAGTGTCAATTTAGGATCAAATTGTACAAATAAGCTTATAATTTGGTTAAAAAATTTGGTGAACAGTTTGGTAAAATTTGAGCTGATGATGTCATCACATGGAAATTAAGGACAAGAGGAAATAAGAAATCAGTTTTAGTTTAGTTTCAAATTTTAAAAAAGAGAGAAATCGGTACACAAATTGATAAACATTATGGTAAAAATTGAGCTGGTCATCAATGATGAGTCATCATTGATGACTCATGATTTGGAAATAAATTGTTCAGCGGTACGAATGAGATTGCAAATTTGATGGAAAAATCAATAATTCTTCTATAAAATAACAATACGTTGGACCAAACAATAAACAATTTAGGATCTCAATGTTTAATTAATTTGTACTTTTGGAATTCTTAATTTGTCCTTACTTTCATCTCGACCTTGAACCTCCTCCTCTTATCGGGATCATCAGGGTCTTCCATCTCCATTTGTGACGGAGTACGCATCCCCATTTGGAAAGTTGAGCCGTCCTGAATGTAAAAAATAATGCAAATTGTGTCATAATTTGTAAACCAATTTGTAATTAATTAATCTCTATAAATAATTAACATATAAACAAACCTCCGTATAAACATTCTTTTTCCCGTCGAAGGGGACCGTAAATTTCAACGCGGCCTTATTCTGCCTCTCGAATTCTTTCCAAATCAGGGGCAAAATCCGGGCTGGAAGTTCCGTCATTTCGCGACCCTCTTTCTCCGCGACCTTGGCCCGAGCCTCCTTCCGCTTTTTGGCAGCATCGGCAGCCGCAGCGTTTCGAGGGTCGTGTCGACATTGGTTATGACCACGTCGTAATGGTAGATAACGTCGGGGAAGGTCTTGGTCCGGGTGACCTTGAAGGAAGGAATGAGATAGATAAGCAGGAGATTATAAAAAATACTTTGAAAATTGAAAATACAGGATTTTAGGCTTCATAGTTTGGATTCCGGGGGCTGTTACACCCACAAAAAGACGAAAATCTACGTGGAGAAGGCAACAATCATGCGAAAAAACAGGTTTTGTGAAGAAATTAACTTTTTACAGTTGGAAAAATACATTGTTTTCACGATTTTCTAAAAAAAATGCAATGTTTTAATCACGATAAATAGTTAATTTCTTCGATCACTGCATTTTTCTTTTAGAAAATTGTGGAAACGATGTATTTTTTCAGCGAGAAAAAGGTTAATTTCTTCACAAAACCAGCATTTTCGTATGACTGCTGCCTTCTTCACGTAGATTTTCGTCTTTTTGTGGGTGTAACAGCCCTGAAAATGCAAACCCTGGCAAGAACAGAGATCAAAATACTGTACAATTTTAATTGCTGTAGATAAGGTCGATTCAAGGTCAAGAAGATACAAATTTAATGAAAAAAACAACTTACCGGATAGTGGTTCACCTTGAGCGAGATTTTCAACCCCTTCAAGGGCATCTCATTTTTCACCCGCAGGGGACGTGGGGACGTGGACGATCGGTCTGCCATTGCTTCAATGAAGGAAAGTTTTTAGCTTTTTTGTGCAACTGTTTTGAAAAATTGATGAAGAGTGAAGAGAGGAACGAACAAACTGAATTGATTCGACCGACTGCAACTTCAAATCGACTTTGTCAAAATTTATTATGGAAACTTTAGGGTTGGCAAGCCTACAAAATTTTGAGAAATTGAGGACACTTGAAAACTTTGATGTTGCAAGTGGAGATGGAAAGCTGGTTTGATTTGGCTCATCATCGTGCCGATTTTGTGGGGCATTCGTATGCAAATCTTGGACATTCAGTCTCAAAACTCTGAGACAGGGTTCCGTTTTGGATGTCAAAAATTATTTTGACGATAGTGACTAGTCAAAATCCAGTCATTTACGTACAAAAATGTCCAAAAGCGTCCAACATGGTAAATGTGGCGAAATGTCACAAGTTCTTAATTAATTGAGCATCTTGCTCTGTCTGAAATATCACGAAATTTGCAAAAACTTAAATTTAAAATGAAATTTAACAAAATTTCTAAACCATGCCGTATTTCAGACTAATATGGTCAAAATTAATAGGAAATTACAAATATATAAATACGTCAACGGATTATGGAAAGATCCAGTAATGAAGAACTGGTCACATTTTGCCACATTTTCCATTTTTGCCACTTGTGAACATTTTGCACATCCAAAATGGTTAAAACCGGTGTGGGACGATGGTTATAAACATCAAAGCGAAACCCTGGAGGTGCGAATCTGACTTGGAATTTTGAGATAACGCGAACCAATATGATATCTACATCCTTTACTTTACATTCGGGGAGACGAGATTCTGAGATTCTTCTTTTCACTCCTTGCTTAATCTTAATCACGAAGAATTTATCATTTTATATCATTTCATGCAAATCCAAACCCTATCGAGTGGAATGAAATGAAATGAAACTAAGTCGCATTTTCTCTGGAATTTGCTAGTTTGGTTTGAACGAGAATGAATAAATCCTTTTATTTATACAATTTATTTACCAAATATGTTGCATTTGGAGACAATGTCAATTTTGTGACGGAATTTATACATTTCTGAATAAAATGTATGTATATGGAATTTAACGTGTATCATGTATAAAATTGTGTACATTATGACCAGATTTGATGGAAAAGTGTGAAAAATGATTAGACAAGAACTACATATTTTACAACTCAACTGAAATTATGAGATTACATATTTATTGGGATTCAAGTCATCATAATTGTATGTCCTTATTTAATAAGAGGAATGATGATAAGTCAGTATTATCGGGTTCTAGACAATTTTCATTAATTATGTAACAGGTCCCAACATAAATTTATGACTGATTTGATATATTCTGAATAAAACATGTGTGCAATTTAACTTCAATTGCATGTAGTTTTATGTGAATCATATTATTACTTACGTATAAAATTTTGTACATTAAATTAGTTTGTAACAAGTGTGAAAAATGATACGTCAAGAGCTACAAATTATGCCATTAATCAACGGAAATTACGAGATATTTTATTGGGATTCAAGTCATCATAATTTTATTTAATATAAGATAAGTCGTTGATAAGTCATTAATCCACCAGAGCAAAAATATGGTACTAATGGATGATTCGTTTCTCGATCTAGAATGGTACGATTTTCAGCTTTTATAATGTGTTTTTTGTCACAATACCACTTTTCTCACAATTTTATTATCCTCATCTCCGCAGAATCTGGAGTCCAGACTATCGGACAATGGAGGTCTCCCAGCGTATGCTCTCCGATTTTGAGCAAATTAGTGTCAATCGGTCACAAATTTAATTAGGATGAAATTTGCGAAAGACACGATCTCCCAATGGGCACGTTTGGCACAGATATTTGCATTCGAAGAGGAGAAAAGGGCAGTAAATTTGGAAAGTGTAAAATTTGTCGACTTTACGGCACGTATTCTCCTCTTGGGATGCAAATATCTCTGCCAAACATGCCCATTGGGAGATCGCGTCTTTCGCAAATTTCATCATAATTAAATTTGCCATCGATTGACACTGGTTTACTCAAAATCGGAGAGCATACACTGGGAGACCTGCAGTATGTTGTAATCGAGGAGACAAAAAATCATCCCTATATTTTATTCCATTGAATGAATCATTATTACTTTTTGGGGCCAGTAAGGTCGGAAATTCAGAATAGGGTCAGATAAAAAATTTTGCAGATTGATTCTCATTATTTTTCGTCATCATGCATATCTTCTTAAAACGCTTGATGTCGGGTTAATGGATACTTGACATATTATATGTATGTGAATTGTGGACAATGCGGATTACGAATGAATCATACCTGTTCAAAAAAACTTTTTCATTTCAAAGTTCAGTCATCCCGATTTCTGACTGAAGACTTTCATTCACACTCATTCATTTCTTCAAATCATTTCATGTCACTTCATCTGACTTCATTCTTAAATCGCCCCATGTACTAAGCATAGGGTGAAAAATGAAATGAGTGAGAAATCTTTCATTCACAGTCATTCATCTGAAATGACTGAATCTTTCACTCATTTCATTCAAATCACAGGAAATTCATTTCATTCACTATCATTCTCCATCATATCAGTCTAATGAATGAAAATGAACAGGTATGTGAATGATGAATTGACCTCGATTCAATCAAACGGATGTAGTTTGATAGCATTTAGGGAGCGTCCATAAATCACGTGATCGATTAGAGGGGGGAGGGGTCTGAAATTTGTCACCAATTATCACGAGGGGGGGTAGGTGGTCAGATGTCACGTGACATGTGTAAAGTTTTGTATATGCCGTATATGCCAATAAATTCGTGAGAGTTATATATAAATCTCTGGCATACCTCACACACGTTATATAGATTAGATTTCATTTGCATATTTGGAACTTGCTTTGACTAAAATTCTTATATCGACGGGCGTATTAAATAGTTATTTGCACATGTGTATAGCTCTAATTGATTAATGATTAAAAAACACTGGAATAATATTGTATTCCGGACAACATTATTTAATTTGAGCATCATCTGTCACGTGACTGGTGGGGGGGGGTAGCGAAATTATCACCAACGGTCACCAAGGGGGGGGGAGGGGGTCAAAATTGGTCCAAAAATCGATCACGTGATTATGGACGCTCCCTTATTGGTATATTGTTGTCTTAATCGGTATCGAAGGATTCAATGGGGCTGATTTGCAGAGATTAACATACATATGAAAAAAAAAACATGAGAGAAAAAAGGCGTAATAAATCACTCAAAATTTTTAAAAGATATATTTTTTTTCATTACTGATAAGTAGTGACAAATGG